GGTGGCAGTGTGTGGCTCAGGCATGCTGAATATGGAAGGCAGGGGTGCTTGTGACCCTAATAAATTCCAAATCCTCTTCCCTGCCACCTCCGGTTTTTCTTGTGTCCAAGCCCTCAGACCCTTCCCCACCTCCCCCTCTCTCCCCTTTCCGAAGGATTGCTCCCTTTCACTGCCTGGTCTCCCAGGGCAACCCCCGCCGCCGGGTGTGAGAGGAAAGAGTGTATGTCACTGTGTGTGCGTGACACTCGGGGTCTTTCAGAGAGAGGGGATTCTGTCCCCACCCTCTTTCATTGGTCCTGCAGCACCAGTCATGCCCCCCCACCAATCCCCGGGTCCTTATGGCCCCCAAGGGTGATTTGTTCTTGGCCCCATCCTGGTGTCCAGTCTGGCCTTGGAAGGGGGTCTTGGAACAGGTGGCCCACCCCCACCCCTCCTTTCTCTGCTCCCCTCCCTTCTCTCCACCTTACAATAGCCGCAGCCGGCCTGGGGTCGGATGGGGGGGGATTAGGGGAGGGGGCCAGGATTAGGGGAATGGACTAGCCGATGAAAGGGGCTGGAGGAGAGCAGAAGGGAGGGGGCTGGGAGGAGGAGGAAGGGGAGGGGGTCCGCGCTAATCGACTCTGGCGCCCACATAAGGACTGGCCACGGACTGAAGGAGAGAACAGGGAAGTAGGGGGTAACTGGGGTTGGGGGCGAGGGGACCCACTGCTAACTTGTCCCAGAGACAGGCCACCCCCTGGCAGCCGCAGCGCAGGCTGGCGGGGGACAGAACGCCCGTCACGGTCTCTTCCTCCTCATTCCCTGCACTCAACCGGGATGGCCCTGCTCCTTCCTCTTCGCGCTCCTCTCCGTCCCAGAGAGGCTGTGCCCACTTTCCCGCCACACATTTCACTCGTGTGTTCCCCGACTCCCCCACGGGGGTCCCATCTGGTTTCCCCGCTTCCGCGTGGCGTCTCCATCCCCGACGCCTCCGGTGCGCCTCCCTCCCCGCCCCGGGCCGCGGCTCCTGATTGTCCAAACGCAATTCTCGAGTCTCTGGCTCCGGCCGAGAGTTACGTCTGGACGTCCCGAGCCGCCGCCCCCAAACCTCGAGGGGGAGAGGCCGGGCGGAGCGCGGGCCGGTCCCCCGGACACCCGGGACCCCGCCGCAGCCCTAGGGGCGCAGGGCGCGCGCCCAGCAGCAGAGGTGCAGTTGCGGCCGGCTTTCCGGGGATCCCGGGCCCCGGCTTGGGGGAAGCTGGAGATCATCGTCCGCGCCGCGGAGGGGAGCTCCGCCCTCGGGTTCCCCACGTGCACGCACCAGCACCCCCACCCCCAGGCCGGCTCCGTGCGCGCCCCGCGGGGGAGGGGGAACCCGGTTCCACGGCACCCTCCACGCGCGCCTCGAGGGCGGTGACGTCTCCGCCGCGGGGGTGGGATGCAAGGAGGGCGGAAGTGACGTCGGGCCTCAGCGCCCGGGCCATGGCGGCGGCGGCGGCGGCGGTGGCAGCGAGAGCCGCGGCGTGAGTGGCAGCTGCGGACCGAGCGGACCAGGGCGGCGCAGCCCGGGCATCCCCGGGGAGAGGCCCGCTGCGGGGCAGCGCGACGGCCGGAGCCGGGTGAGGGGCCGCGGGGTGCGCGCACAGGGCTCCGGGGGCGGGGTCTGCAGAGGGGCGGCCCCGACAGCGTCCCCTCCCCCCCCACTCCGCAGACTTCTCTCGGCGGAGCCCTGCTTGGAGGGGGTCCGCGCCCCGTCACCATGACGACGCCGGCGAATGCCCAGAATGCCAGCAAAACGTGGGAACTGAGTCTCTACGAGCTGCACCGGACCCCGCAGGTGACAGGGATCTTCCAGCCCCGACTCACCCCCTCCCGCCAGCTCTCCCCCTTCCCCTTCACACTATTCTTTGCCCGATTCTGCGTTTGAATCACCTTTCATCTTTTCAAAGCACTTCTACACTTACCTCTTTTAATCCGATTTAACCTCTCCAAACAGCCGTGTCAGAGAGGTATGGCAGATAGTGCTGCGTTAATTGGAGCACGGTAAACAGACGCCAGAAGTTACCTTTTCTCTCTCCTCCTGGCTCGCACTTGTCCCACATGTCCGTGTACACAGACTCGTCCTACGAGTTTAAGCGAACTCTCCAGTGTTCTGACTGAAAATCTGTTTTAACAGGCCCACTGAAATTCTAGTAGTCTCGCTCTTAGAGTTCTAAGAAAGCCTGTTGAGGCGGGGTGTGGTGGCGCACTGCAGAAGCAGGGGCAGGTGGATCTCTTGAGTTTGAGGTCAGCCTGGTTTTCCATAGTGAATCCAGGCCAGCTAGGGTCACACACATAGTGAGACCCCCAAAAAGCAAACAAAAAGAAGTTTGTTGAATAAATATTCGCCAAGCCTGTGCTGTCCCCAACTAACCCTAGCATCTCACCAAGCGTCTGTTCCTTCTGTTTCAAAATTCCTTGTGAATGAGTCCTCATCCCTTCTGGGTAATTTCCAAGTCATTGGTCTCCTCCATCCCAGAATTCCCATCTTCCTCAGTTGGCCAGCATGGCTGTCCGGGTTCTGAAATCCCTTTCCCCAACCCTCTGCCACCTGCTAATGGCCCAGGAAGCCATCATGGACGGGACAGAGATAGCGGTCTCGCCTCGGTCGCTGCATTCGGAGCTCATGTGTCCCATCTGCCTGGACATGCTGAAGAACACAATGACCACCAAGGAGTGCCTCCACAGATTCTGCTCTGACTGCATCGTCACTGCCCTGCGGAGCGGGTAACAGGAGGGACCGTTTGCAGTGTGTGTGTGGGGGGGGGGATCAGTGATGGCAACTGAGCCCACAGAGCTTCTTCTCTCCCAACCTAGGAACAAGGAGTGCCCTACCTGCCGGAAAAAGCTGGTATCCAAGCGGTCCCTACGGCCAGACCCCAACTTTGATGCCCTGATCTCCAAAATCTACCCTAGCCGGGAAGAATACGAGGCCCATCAGGACCGAGTGCTCATCCGCCTCAGCCGCCTGCACAACCAGCAGGCGCTGAGCTCCAGTATCGAGGAGGGGCTTCGGATGCAGGCCATGCACAGGTGTGGAGGTCTGGAGACTCGGGTGTGAGCTGTGAGGAGGTCTGGAGTAGGGGTCTCGTAGACTACCCTCTTCCAGCTGCCAGGTGTTGACCAGGCAGGTGCCTGTGTTCTCAGACGGGTCTAGTCCTGTTTCTTCAGTCAACAGATAGAAGTAAAAACACTTACTATGCTTGATACATCGTTAGCGACTGGTAAACAAGCAACATCACCGTTAGGATTTCCATGGCTCACAGTTGTCTGAAGTTTAACACTTAGAGGCCTGAGTTCTGCTCTCTCTAACCCGGACTGTTTATTTCTACAGGGCCCAGCGTGTAAGGCGGCCGATGCCCGGATCGGATCAGACCACCACCATGAGTGGGGGGGAAGGAGAACCTGGGGAGGGAGAAGGGGATGGAGAGGATGTAAGCTCTGACTCCGCTCCTGACTCCACTCCAGGCCCTGCTCCCAAGCGACCCCGTGGAGGGGGTGCAGGGGGCAGCACTGTAGGGACAGGAGGCGGTGCTGCTGGGGGGGTTTGCGGGGGTGCTGGTTCTGAAGACTCTGGTGATCGGGGTGGCACTCTGGGAGGGGGAACTCTGGGCCCCCCCAGCCCTCCTGGGGCTCCCAGTCCTCCAGAGCCAGGCGGCGAGATCGAGCTTGTGTTCCGGCCCCACCCCCTGCTTGTGGAGAAGGGAGAGTACTGCCAGACTAGGTGAGGAGCCCTACCTGAGTTAAGGATTCTGCATCAGAAGGGGGCTTCAGGCCTGGGGTGTAGTTCAGTTGGTAGCGTGCTTTTCAAACAGCCATGAGACCCCGACTTTCTCCTGCAGCACCACATAAACAAGGGTAGTGGTGTGCACCCGTAATCCCAGAGGCAGGGGGATGAGAAGCTTAAGGTCACCTTCAGCTACATAGCAAGCTAGAAGCCAGCCTGGGGTACCTGTGTCTCTAGCCAGGCCTTTTGAGGAAGTTGTCCATTAGAGGACTCTGCTGCCCTCACATCCCGCTCTGTCCCCCAGGTACGTGAAGACCACTGGGAACGCCACTGTGGATCATCTCTCCAAGTACTTGGCTCTGCGTATTGCCCTGGAGCGGAGGCAGCAACAGGAAACCATAGAGCCTGGAGGGCCTGGTGGGGGTGCCTCGGACACAGGCGGACCTGATGGGGGTGGTGGGGAGAGTGGGGTTGCCGGAGGAGGCGAAGGTCCTGAGGAGCCCACCCTGCCCAGCCTGGAAGGTGTCAGCGAGAAGCAGTACACCATCTACATAGCGCCTGGGGGTGGAGCGTTCACGGTGAGCATGTCCTGTCCCTCTCTGTGGGCTCTGGTTCTGCACACTCCCCTTCCCCCCCCCTTTCTTTCCTCTTCCCTTGTCTCGTCCATTTCCTTTTCCAACTTTCCTCCCCCTGCCTCTCTCCTCTCTAGACGCTGAATGGCTCGCTGACCTTGGAGCTTGTGAATGAAAAGTTCTGGAAGGTGTCCAGGCCCTTAGAGCTCTGCTATGCCCCCACTAAGGACCCAAAATGACTTCACAAGGGCACAGCCAGAAGATGGGGACCACAGGGTGTCCCTGTGTCCCGGCTCACCCTGCCAGCTTCATCTCCCAATGCCTCCCAGCCAGACAGCAAGAGTACACAAGCAAGGACAAATGGCTTTTATACAAAGTATCTATATCAGATTCTTCTATATTGTACAGCACGGACCTGTGCCCACTACTGCCTTTTCTATTGACCCTAACTGCCCATCCTGCAGGTGACGGGGAGGTGAACGCGGCCCCCTCCCCACCCTCCTACCAACAACAAATTTGCTTACTTCTTTGAAAGCTGCAGTCCTCTGTGTGTGTCTATCAAGGGTGTATAATAAACAGGTGGGGGGAGCTGGAGAAGTGGCTCAGCGGTTAAGAGCTCAGGCTACTCTCGCAGAGGACCTGAGTTTGATTCCCAGCACCCACATGGTGGTGCACCACCATCTGTAACTCTGGTTTCAGGGGGTCTGAAGCCCTTTTCTGGCCTCTGCAGTCACCAGGAACATGTGATGCACTGACTTGTGCAGGCGAAACACCCACACGTAAAAATTAACAGGGCGTAGTGGGGCACGCCTTTAACTCCAGCACTCAGGTGACAGAGGCAGGTGGATCTCTGAGTTTGAGGGCAGCCTGGTCTACAGAGTGAGTTCCAGGCCAGCCAAGGCTACCTAGTGTTTTATTTGGGAAAGCTTAAAACTCACAGGAAATGAGTGATGGAAATAGGAGGTGATGGCAGAGCTTAGCCCCCTATAGCTTCCCCCCATACAATAGAAATGAAAAGAGGGAGAAGCCAGCCATAGTCTCGAATTCCTGCAGTCCTAGGATCTGGTTGGCAGAGCCAGAAGAATCGCCACAACCTTGAAACCAGCCTGGTCTACATGATGAGTTCTGGGCCAGCCTGGGCTAGTTACACTGAGCTCCAAACACCTGAAGACAAGGGAACTAGGGACAATCTGAGAAGCTGGAGGAGAAGATGAAGGGGCAGACTTTCCAAACATTCTGCACAACTCCATCAGCCCAGTGAAATCCAGTTAACCAGCGGGAGGTACAAAGCCAGGTCTCCACGGTAAAGTCGCTCTGGCCACCAAGAAGACAGCCATGAAGACTGAAGAGAACATTCCGTCACTGCTGATGTCTGAAAAGAAAAGAGAGGGCTGTGAGAACCAGTTGTGGCATTGGGGTCTGGAGTCCCAGAGGAGTCTAGGGTTTCAGGAACAGGCTTTCTGCAGCAGAATGAATGTACCCTCTGCCCCGTCTCCCTCAGGGCCTCACGATGCTGCAGGCAGGACTGGGTGGGCTCCCTTGGATCCCTTGGATTTTCTTGTGTGATCCCTGGCACCGCCAATTACGGCCCACCCTTTCTCTAGCACCTTTGAGTACCGCTGACCTGTCAATGTGCCACCATTGTCCCACAGAGGTTCAAGATGCTCACTTCCCCCCCCCCCCAGTGCAGCACCATTCCTCAGTGTCCATCTGGGAGTCCCACCCCTTTGTTTTGTTTTTTAGATAGGGCCTCACTTATGCCACCCTGGCTGCCTGATCAGGCTAGCTTTGAACTCAGAGACCTGCCTGCCTCTGCCTCCTGAGTGCTGGTATCAAAGGCTTGCATCACCATGCCCAGCTGCATCCCCTTAATCCAACAATGCCCAGCCATGCAGCAGGCCAGCGAGGTAGAGACGTAGGGAGGAGCCAGGGAGACACTGAGGAGGAAGCCCACCTTCCAGTAGGCAATCAGTGCTCACTCATCCCTAGCGGCTTCTGAGTTGCTGCCTGGCTTCCTTTCAGTAATTCTCAGCTTTTCAGCCTCTTCCCATGTCCCCTGCCTGTGTGACTAAGACCTTCATAGACGCGGCTCCCTACTTTGGAGACACCACGTGTGGGCCTGTCACAGGTCACCTGGGGTAAGTGTCCCCACCTCTGCCAACAGTTCTCCCCAGTGCAGGGAGAAGGCAGCTTACATGTGTGGCACTAGTTCACGCACCAACCCCAGATGGGGTGTTTGCGCCCCACATTCTCAAGGCAGCATTACTGACTCAGCAAGATGAGACATAATATGTATATACATATAAATACATACACACACACACACACATACACAAGAGCAGTTGGACCTTTGTGGAGGATGGAGGTAGGAAGGATGAAGGCAGAGGCAGCCATGGACAGGACCTTCACCTGCACAAGCCACCGGATCTTTCTGTGGTGTCCTGGCCTGCCAAATGGGGACAATAGGTGGGGCCGCAGCCACCTTCACTCAGTTTATACTGTGAGGGTTAAGAAGCATCACCTGAGGGAAGTGTGAACCATTCTCAGACCGTGGTCAAACACCGTCCCCTACCGGCCATTCTCAGACCGCGGTCAGACTCCCATCCCCTACCAAACATTCTCAGACCGTGGTCAAACACCGTCCCCTACCGGCCATTCTCAGACCGCGGTCAGACTCCCATCCCCTACCAAACATTCTCAGACCGTGGTCAAACACCGTCCCCTACCGGCCATTCTCAAACCGCGGTCAGACTCCCCGTCCCCTACCGATCCACCCAGAAGCTAAGTGCACACCAGCTCCTCCGCTAATCGCTCCATCACCTTTGCCCCTCCACCCTACCTCGCCTTTTCCTGGACTTCCCAAAATCCTATTACACGCGACCAGAAACGAAGCCCAGAAAGAGGCGCCTCCAGCTGTTTTAGAGGCTTCTAAGGGGAAAGAACAGCAGAGCAGGTGTCCCAGAAAAAAGGGGGAGTAGAGGCAGCGATGGAAGAGGAGAGGATGGAGGAGAAAGTGGAGAAGGGAAAGCAGGGCTGAGCAAGGCCCACTGCCGCAGGCGTGGAGGTACAGCCCTGTGATCCTCCCACTGCAGAGGTGGATGCAGGAGGATCAGAGGCTCAGGGTCATCCTGGCTACATACTGATTTCCAGGTACATGAAGCACTGTGTCACAAAGAAAATTATCAGGATTAGAAAATTTGGGGGGCCGGGCGGTGGTGGCGCACGCCTTTAATCCCAGCACTCAGGAGGCAGAGGCAGGTGGATCTCTGTGAGTTCGAGACCAGTCTGGTCTACAAGAACTAGTTCCAGGACAAGCTCCAATGCTGCAGAGAAACCCTGTCTCGAAAAAACAAAACAAAAACAACAACAAAAATTTTTGGAAGAAACATGGTGGGATGGGGCTTGCCCACTTTTTCTTCGGTTCTACCTTCCCTGATGCTAAGAAACAGTTACTGCGGGAGATGGAGGCAGGCACTTTTCATCCCAGCACTCCGGAGACAGATGCAGGCGGATCTATGGGAGTTGAGTCCAGTCTTATCTATATCGTGGATTCCAACAAAGCCAGAGCTCAAGTCCCCACCATCCGGGGACTGCCACTCCCACAGAAGCCCCTGAACAAAGTCTTAACAGTTAGCAGCGCCCTCCACCCAGCCTGGCACCAAAGAGGGAGCTGCCATGATCAGTCTGGTAGGGGTTCCCGTAGGAAAGTCTCTGGCTTCAACAACAGCTGCCACTTTGTTCCTGTCTCGGGCCAAGTAGGACCTCAGTCCTTGTGTTAACTTGACACACAGTTTACTCTTCGAAGTTGGCAACACTGTTCCCTGTGATGCATCAGCAGTGACAACTGACAGAAGCTAAAGGGAATTAAACACTTTCAGAGGTGAAAGGGCGCTGGAGAGGCCACCCCAGCGTCACCCATTCTGTTGTCTTTCCACAGAGTCTCACAGGGTAGCCCTGGCTGGCCTGTGTCACTCAAAACACACAGCTCTCTCTTCAAAGGGAATTGCAGATGGTTTATCATAGAGTCAGATTCCAGTGACCATTGTTTCAGGATAGTCAATCATATTGTGAACTCCAAGTTTGCATTTGCATTAATTAAATAAAATCAACCATGATTCAGGGGGCGGGGCCAACAACTATTTGATTGGAACTAGCCATAGAGAGTCTGGAGGAGGAGGAAAATGGATGGACAGACACACAGAAATAAGTAGGATGGGCTTGGAATTTTGCACTTCTTTTTGGTTTGGCACAAGTGGAGAGACATGTCTCTTGCTGGGTCTCTGGCCAAAAAGCCAGGTCAGCTGGTCACTTCTTAGCCTCTTTGATGTAGCAGGTTTTCTCACCACATCTGACTTCCAAGTCTTTGTTGGTAAATAGAATGATAGAGAATCAGTTTCAAGCTGCAGATCTATATACATAGTATATATATATGTATACATACTATACACATATTGCTACATGTATGTATGCATGCTATATACATGTGGTTTAAGCCTACATCTCTGCCACAGCTGTGGGATCAGAAGTCCCTCCAGGCCAGGACCTGAGTGGCCAGTGGGGTGCTGACTGGGAGGCCTTGGGGCCACAGACAGTACTAAAATATCAGTAGGTTCATGTACAGTCACTAAGCCAACAGAAAAACATCAGACCATGGGTTTAGGTCACCCCAATTCCATATTCCAATATGGTAACCATTTCATGAAGTTTTCATAGGAGCAGAACAAAGAAAGCTATGACCAAAGACACTTCGAACATGTTGGGGGAGGCTTCCCAAACTCGAAATTACTACTCAAGAACTGTATTAATTAAATCACTGCTTTGTCTATTAGCTCTAGCTTCTTATTGGCTAACTCTTACATCCTAAACTAACCCATCTCCATTAATCTGGACGTCACTATGAGGTTGTGGCCTACTGGCAAAGTTTCAGTGGGCTCCAGCGGAGGCGTCTGTCCCAGGTGGTGGCTACATGGCTTCTCCCTGACTCTGCCTTCTCTCTCTCTCTCTCTCTCTCTCTCTCTCTCTCTCTCGCGCGCGCCATTGGCCAAAAGCCATTGGCCAAAAGCAGCTTCTGTATTAACCAACGGCACTAAAACATATTCACAACATGCATCACCTCCACATCACGAATACATTGGCAGAAACATGAGAGAGACGGAGAAGATGGGGGATCCCCTCCCATAGGCCTCAGATGCTATTTTTCGGGTTAGTGGGTGCCAGTGGTCTACTAAGTTAATAGAGTCAAAAGGTTTGTTTTTTTTTTTTAATTAAATGTTTAAAATGTATTTTACATACTAACCACAGTTTTCCTGTGGTGATATTTTGTTTGAGATCTAACAAATAAAGCTTGCCTGAAGATCAGAGTTCAGAGCTAAGATACTAGTTAGCCGTAGAGGTCAGGCAGTGGTGGCACACACCCTTAATCCCAGCACTTGGGAGGAGGAAGCAGAAAGATCAGGAAATCCAGGCCACCTTGAGATTGAATCAGTCTAAAAGAGAAACAGAGCTCAGACATTTAATCCCAGCACTATGGAGGTGGAGACAGGAGTGATCTGGCTGGGCAGCGAGAAGAATATAAGGCAGGAGGAGACGGGAAGGAGCTCGGTGCAGTCTGAGGTTTCATAGAGACAGAAAGCATTCAATCTGAAGATTTGTAGACAGTATCACCCCTTCGATCTGAGGAATCATAGGGACGGGACTGCCCCTTTGGTCTGAGGATTTGACAGAGGTAAAAGGTCTCTCTTGCAGCTGGCTGCTCTGCTTCTCTGGTCTCCCAGTTTTTACCCCTAATATCTGACTCCAGGTTTTTATTATTAAGAACAATTAGAATACACACTCCAATTTCCCCTCTCTCCTCTCCTCCTGTCCCCACCCCCACCTTCCTTCTCCTCCCACCATCCACTCCTCCTCTATCTCCATCAGAAAGGGAAAGGCCTCTGTGGGAGTCGACAAAGCAAAACAGGGCACACCAAGTTGAGGAAGGACCAAGCTCCTCCCCCTGCTTCAAGGCTGAGCGAGGCATCGCACCATAGGGAATGGTTCCCAAAGCCAGCTCATGCACCAGGGACGGGTACTGGTCCTACTGCTAGGGGCCCCACAAACAGACCAAGGTACACAACTGTCACTCACATGCAGAGGGCACAGGTTGTCCCTTGCAGGCTCCCTAGCTGTTAGTCTAGAGTCCGTGAACTCCTCTGAGCTCGGGTGATTTGTCTCTGTGGTTTCCCCATCATGATTTTGACCTCCCTTTGTGTATGTAATCCCTCCTTCTGGAGCTAGGCCCAGTGCCTAACTGTGGATCTCTGCATCTGCTTCCTTCAGTTACTGGATGTAGGTGCTTTGATGACAATTAGGGTAGTCACTAATCTGATTACAAGGGCAGGCCAGTTCAGGCACCCTCTCTGTTATTGCTAGGAGTCTTAGCTGGGGTGGTCCTTGTGGATTCCTGGGAGTTTCCCTGGAACCAGGTTTCTCCCTAACCCCATAAAGTCTCCCTCTATCAAGATATCTCTTTCATTGCTCCTCCAATTCCCACCCCTCAACCCCCCGCCCCATGCAGTTTCCCCAGGAGATCTCATCTGTTTCCTCTTTCCCAAGTGATCCATGCATCCATCTTAGAGTCTCCATGTTACGTAGATTCTGTGGGGCTGTGGATTGTAGCCTGGTTATCCTTTGCTTTACATCTAATATCCACTCATGAGTGAGTACACACCATGTTTGTCTTTCTGAGTCTGGGTTGCCTCACTCAGGATGGTTTTTCCTAGTTCCCTTCATTTGCCTGCAGATTTCATGAGTCGTTGTTTTTTAGGACTAAACCTCTGCAGCTGTAAGCAAATCCCAGTTAAATGCTTTCTTTTATAAGATTTTCCATGTTCATGCTGTCTCTTCACAGCAATAGAACACTGACTACAACAGCTTTATTTCTTGCCTGGAAACACCAGGTCCATGTGACTCATGCCACAATTAAATTGCCTTTGCCTGTGCTGACCGTTATAACTGTGATCACATTGCCTTTAGCAATTTCATGCTGCCATGTGTCCCTGATACCATGGGACCCAATGAATCCCATTGTCTTTTTTTTATTATTTATCTATAGATGAGATTTATTTATTTACTTATCTCATTATAGATGGTTGTGAGCCATCTATAATGCCTTTCTTTCTGCCTCCACACGCCAGAGGGCACCAGATCTCTTTACAGATGGTTTGGAGTCACCATGTGGTTGCTGGGAATTGAACTCAGGACCTCTGGAAGAGCAGACAGTGCTCTTAACCACTGAGCCATCTCTCCAGCCCCAACAACAAAACTCTTGAACCCTGCTGGTGCCCCTCATCACTCTGTGTCTTACAGGATCTGTGAAGGGTGTGTCTTCTGGACTTCCCATTGTGGAGGGTTAGGTTTTACACAGCACACTCACTCCAGCACTGCAATTTCCATGAGCCTTAAAATCTCTTCATCAACCCTGAGCCAAGGGATGCCAGGCAGCTCCAAGTCCTTATCAGTAAGCCATCTTTGACAAATGCTTCAGACAACCATCCAAACAAACTTTTGACCTTTTTAAACTGTGAGAGAGCTTCCATATTGAATCTAGAATCCAATCTGACCCAATTTTAATGTTCCTTCCACCATTATTCCACATCCTTACTCCATTCCCACACATATTCTCCAGACTTCTAAATGAATTAGCAAATGTATTAAGTTCTTTAGTTGTGCAGTACATCTCCTCTGGCACTATACTCTCTACGTCCCCTCTAGCTGTCTGCTCTGCCTGCAGTCTGGTTATAGGTGTTACAATATGGCACAAGATGGACCTGAGTGGGCAGGGTGAGTCCAAGGAGCCCCAGGTTGGGTGAGAGACAGACACACCAAGCAGACAGCTATGTGAAGTTTTATTGTGGGGGAGGAGGAAGGGAGCAGAGGGAGAGAGAAGGGGAGCACAGAGCAGCCTCATGGGGAGACACACAGAGAGAGGTGCAGAGAGGCAGAGACGGGGGGGGGGGGGGGGCAGAGAGCCAAGGAAAGAGAGAGACCTGTGGGAGAGAGGAAGAGGAAGAGAAAGAAGGGAATAGGCAGAACTCTGTCCTTTAAAGGGATGGGGCACAGTGCATGTGCACAGAGACCACACAGCAGGCCAGGGTACAGCCTGCTATGCCTGAAGGCACACTCTACCAGGTCCCCAATGGGCAGGGCCAGGTGTACCCGGATGCTAACAATAGGTCTAGAGGTAACTAATGTTGGGTTCTGAGGGACATCAGAATTGTCTTGCTTAACATTTCCTTCAGAGACAGTCACTGCTGTTTAACAGACAATGAAGGATTAATTTGTTCAATCAAAGGTGAAAAGGCTGTGGGGCGGTGGTGGCACACACCTTCAATCCCTGTACTCGGGAGGCAGAGGCAGGTGAATCTCAGCGAGTTTGTAGGCCAGCCTAGTCTACAAAGCAAGTTCCAGGACAGACAGGAATCCCTGTCTTCAGGGATTGTGGCTGAGGGTAGAGAGACTGCTTCCACAGGTGAGCTAAACCTGAGAATCTAAGTAAGGGTTCAAAGTTCTCAGCTTCAGCAGGGCCCTCCCACACATCCTCATCCCAAGTTAAGGGATCCTGTTTTAACCAATTATTGCTCTTACTTTAGTTGCTGCTTCAGAGTTCTAGAAAGTTCCCTGGTTCCAGGATTTGCAGCCTCTTTTGGTTTCCATGGATCTGCTTCCTCCCTGAAAGAAACAAGATGTCTTCTTCCCACTGGCGGAAAGGATGTGATGTTCCACCTGGCTGTAAGTTTGATGGAGGCAGGGCAGCCTGAGACCCGAGACCCTTGGAGTAGTGTGGACAGTGAGCATGACTGTGTCTCTGTGGGAGTCTGTGTGGTGGTTGCAGGCCAGCACCTAAGCTTTAAAGAGAAGCATCTCTGCCCTGCATCCCAACCTGATTGTTGTTGCCATTGTGTTCCTGGAAGTGACTTTTCTTCTAGATGATTCAGGGTCTAATTATTAGAGAGAAGGAAAAGGAAGGGTGAGGAGAGAATGAAGTGAGTCTGACCTGTGTGTCTCTCCTGTTTTTTGTGTGTGTGTGTGTGTGTGTGTGTGTGTGTGTGTGTTTTGTTTTGTTTTGTTTCGAGACAAGTTCTGTCTCCACATCTCTGGCTGTTGTTGATCTCAGAGACCAGGCTCCTGTGTTCACCTGCAGAGGGCAGCTCACACTGCCAAGCCTGACGCTCAGGATCTCACCTGTAAACAGAGACTTTGCCTCTTCACTCAGGATCGTGTCTTCACAGCCTGGTGCTTACACTCAGACTCCTAGTGTTTCTTCCCAGATGATCATCTGTGGCTCCAGGTGCTTGTGTTTTACACAGATCTCATTCCATAGTCCTGAGATTATCCGTGTGGATCTGGGTCATTGTCTCAGCACAGTAGACCCCTTCTCCATGGGAAGAGACCCCTGTGGAGACCAAATACAGCAGGGCACTGACCCTGTCTACACTCCACGTTTCCCTGTGTGCACACACTCCCATGGTGCAGTTGCTTTAGTGAATAAATCACAGTAAGAGAGGAAGAATAACTAACTATAAAGAAGAATAATAGTGACCATGTGGTAGAAGTTACATAACCTCTCTCTCTCTCTCTCTCTCTCTCTCTCTCTCTCTTTCCTTCACTCGCACTCTATGAGCTGATGAGATGAGGGAGATGAATGTCACAGACTTGTGGGACACTGGATCTGATAACAGTTGGCTTCTTAGTTCCTCAGGCCTGTGCAGTGTGGACACTGGATAGAAGGTGGTTCTCACAGCAGAGGTACACACTGGGGAGTCTAGGTTTCATCTGTGTTCAATATGTGGAGAAAAATTTATTTTATAATTTTTTCCTGTGAATTTTTAAGTTGATGTCTTCAAATTCCAGCCACACACAACTGAAGTAGAAAGTGAAAGCAGAGGTGAGCAGGCCTCCTTCCTGCAGGGAGAGTCACATATGATACAGTGTGTCAAAAGTGCTTAATCAGAGCTGTAAAAACTCCAGTCACCTCCGGATGCCGGTGTCCACAGCAGCCCCGCACCCTCCAGGACTCCGACAGCACCTGTTTCCATGAACATTCATTTTAAGTGCTGTGTGTATTTTACCTGGAAACTTCATGCTCCCAGGTTTCATCCTGACTAACCTGAGGAGCAGTTGGCCTTAGGCGGCTCAGAGACACCATGACACACAGCGCTCCATCCCGCAGCACTGGGTTCAAAGTCTTAGTCCCCAGGCGGTGAGGTCTGGGTGGCGAAGCCCAGGGCTGGGGATTCCCCTGTCCCCAGTTTCACTTCTCCAGCTCCAGGTCCTTCTGCCCGGACACTGATGACAACTTGGCGGTTCTCCCCCTCCTTGGGTGACGAGATCCCGGGGAAACAACCAGCGTCGCCGTGGTCACCGGTTCTAAAGTCCACGCAGACCGCGGACTCAGAGTCGCCCGGACCTAAGATGGGGGCGATGGCTCCGCGCACGCTGCTCCTGCTGCTGGCGGCCGCTCTGGCCCCGACCCTGACCCGCGCGGGTGAGTGCGGGGTCGGAAGGGAAACGGGTTCTGCGGGGAGGGGGGGCGGCACCGGGGAAGCCGCGCCCCCGCGTGGCCCAGCCGGACCCTCCCGCCCCTTCCCCACCCGCGTCCCGAGCCCCGCGCCCTGCTCCCCTCCCGGCCCGCGCTCCTGCCCGGGGTCCCGGGAGCAGGGTCGGGGTCTCACCGCGCGCCGCCCCCAGGCTCGCACTCGCTGCTGTATTTCGACACCGCCGTGTCCCGGCCCGGCCTCGGGGAGCCCCGGTTCATCTCCGTCGGCTACGTGGACGACACGCAGTTCGTGCGCTTCGACAGCGACGCGGAGACTCCGAGGATGGAGCCGCGAGCGCCGTGGATGGAGCAGAAGGGGCCGAAGTATTGGGAGGGGCAGACGCAGATCGCCAAGAACAACGAGCAGATTTACCGAGTGAACCTGAGGAACCTGCTCCGCCTCTACAACCAGAGCGAGGGCGGTGAGTGACCGCGGTCGGAGGTCACGACCCCTCCTCGTCCCCACGTACGGGCCGGAGTCGTCCCGGGTCCCAGGTCCGAGGTTCGGGAGGAGAGCGGGGACCGAACCCGGCTTCCCTTTCGGTTTAGAGTCCGCGGGCGTCGGTGACGGGGGCGGGGCGGGTGGGCGGGACTGACTGGAGTGGGCGGGGCCGCGGGTGACCCCTGGTCAGAACAGGTGGGCAGGGCTGACCGCGGGGTCCCCGCAGGCTCTCACACCATCCAATGGATGTACGGCTGTGAGGTGGGGTCGGACGGGCGCCTCCTCCGCGGGTACAGTCAGGAAGGCTACGATGGCCGCGACTTCATCGCCCTGAACGAGGACCTGACGACGTGGGCGGCGGCGGACAAGGCAGCGCAGGTCTCCCGGCGGAAGTGGGAGCAGGATGGGGAGGCAGAGAGATGGAAGGCCTACGTGGAGGGCCGGTGCGTGCAGTCTCTGCGCAGATACCTGGAGAACGGGAAGGATGCGCTGCTGCGCATAGGTGCGGGGGCCGCGGGCAACTCCTCCCTCTGCCCTCGGGCTGGGCTCAGTCAAGAGGAAGAGGAAACCCCCACTGGGGTCATGCCCCTGTCTCTGAGGGCAGACAGGGTCCCTGGGTCTCCTGATCCAGCATGGCAGGGACTGCTCTGACCTCCCAGGGCTCAGCCTTCTCCCTGGACAGTTCCACATCTGTCTCAGGAGGGAGGAGAGAGGATCCCGACATCACCAACAGTGGCTCCTTCAGTCTGCAGCCCCTGTCAGCCATGGCCTCTCCCAGGCCGGGTTCTCTGCCACACCCAGTGTCTGTGGACACTGAGTCCTGTCATCTGAGTGTGTCAGCCCTTACACACCAGGACCGGAGTCTACTTCACCTGATGGGAGACATGGGACGCCCCCATCTTAGGCTGCTTCCCCAGTTTCTAGAACTTTCCAAAGAATAAATTCTCCCAGATTCCTGTGTGTCAGGTTTGCATCCATCCCGCACCCCAGTTCTATCTCTTCCTAGAATTGTCACGTGGGCACTTACGGATTTTTTTTTCTTTTTACTTTTTTCTTTCAAGTTGTCATTTTCATTTTAGTGAGTTTTTCTTCCTCACTGGGCCGGTATTCCTTCTCTCCCTCCCCTGTGTTATCTTGCGTATCCGTCTGCACAGGTGCCGTGGGTACTGATACTCTAAATAATTAGACAAATTAAATCAGTGTTCCCTTTAAACGAGAAAAATTCCTGTGAACTTAAGTCTATTTTCAGCCAGAGTTAGCCATCCAGAGCCCCCTGCTCGCCCTCTGACCCAACAAGTTACAGTGTTGCCCTAGTGAAATAGGAACTGAACTTACTCAGAGACAGGGTCTTCTGCACCTCCAAGACTGGAGTGACAGGGAAGATCCACACACCCTGTGAGCACCACTGTGTCCCGGTGAGTGCTGCACTGGGCTCCACAGCACACATCAGGGATCCTGGGTGACAATACCTGGTATCTTGTCCCTCAGAGACAGGAGTTGGGAGACATTTTCTCCGGCTGAGTGTCAGAGGCTCACCACATTTCTGCTGCTCACTGTGGTGATGGCTGTTCACCTGGATGGACAGTTAATGCTGGACAGAAAGATGGCCACAGTGGCTGTGCCTTAGTGGTGGCAGCAGGAATTAGTGGCACATTTCATGTAACCTGTTCCCCTAATTTCTTATTTGGATATGAAAATTAATATCATGTATATAAATTGTTTTCCATCCCTTCATTCTTTTACTACCTAACTTATGCTACAGAACATCACATAAGGAAGACCATGTTGATCTTCTGTCTTACGTGGATTCCCTCTTAGCTTCTGGGTTCCCCAGGAAACTGCAGTTCTGTGATGAGGGGACCAGCTCTACCTGCAGGTCACTAGTGTGATGACAGAATTGTTCAAACAGACATATAGTTCAGTGTCATCATTGGCTTAACTTTGTCTTTGCAGATTTCAGTTTATCTTGTTGATTATGGGATTTCTTAAATCTTCCACACAGACCCCCCAAAGGCACATGTGACCCATCATCCTGGACCTAAAGGTGACGTCACCCTGAGGTGCTGGGCCCTGGGCTTCTATCCTGCCTTCATCACCATGACCTGGCAGAGGGAGGAGGAGGAACAGACTCAGGACATGGAGCTGGTGGAGACCAGACCTTCTGGGGATGGAACCTTCCAGAAGTGGGCATCTCTGGTGGTGCCTTCTGGGGAAGAGCACAAATACACATGCCATGTGCACCATGAGGGGCTGCCTGAGCCCCTGACCCTGAGATGGGGTAAGGAGGGAGTGGGTGCAGAGCTGGGGTCAGGGAAAGCTGGAGCCTTCTGCGGACCCTGAGCAGGGTTA